CCCCAAAACCCCAAAACCCCAAAACCCCAAATAGCTCACATCAAAATGATATTATTAATTTTAAAGATTTTGATAATATGAAGCTTCCGAAGTGACCATTAAAAAAATCATGCAAAACTATATCATACATGATTAAATCAACACCATCTAACAACCTAAAATCTGACATTTTCGTCTGTTCTAGATGTGCAAACTCAGTGTTTGTGAAGGAAGAAGTAACCCAGATCCCTGCAGAAGAAGAGATCCTTGAATGATTAAGTCAAGGTAGGAATTATGGATTAGGTCTAGTGGAGTTTTATTTGGTCAGGATTGACCAGTTTGAACAAGGCCAAGGGGGATTTTTGTGGAGGATGAAGAAGGGTGAGAGGGTCGGGGAGAAGCTGGAAGAGTATTTTGAGGAGCATAGGTTGATTAAAGGTAAGATTTGAGGAGTTTTGTGGAGAGGGAAGGGTGTTAGAGTATTAGAGAGATATGGTTTAAATTTGTTGTTCTCTTGTGATGGTGTTGGATTTTAGGATCATTTTAAATTGCTTTCTAGCTCACTTATTTACTGCAACAAACACTGAAGACTATTCTTCCTTACCTTACATTCATATTGAATCGAAACATCTCCTCAATACAATTCTTGAGTCTGAGATTTTCAAGGAATATAACCATCAGAAGGAATTTATGAAGTTCAGAGATTTTACTGATAATTTGATAGACCCATCTTGGTCAATGGATTTAACCAAGGAAAGGGAAGATTTGACTTCACCTGATCATCCTTCCAAGACTCGTATTACTAGCATAAGTTTAACTGCTTCCTCTAAACTCCACCAAGCTTCTAAGGCTTTTATTAATCAACAAATATGCAATCTCAGAGATTACATATTAACCACCGAACACTCAAGAGTCATCTCTAAACTAGCAGATACCAAGAAACTTGTAAAATCACAAGCAGAGCAAATATCAGCCAAAGATCTCGAAATAGAGGACCAAAAATAGAAAACTGACAGAAAAGGACCAAGAGATTAAGCACATCCAGTCTAAACTTCTCACTACAGAATCCCAGCTAGCCCAGATATCCTCTATCTTACAACAAGAGCAACACAAAAATGAGCTGAATGAGAGAATCATTCAGGAACAGAAGGAAGAAATTGAGAGAGTTCTGTAAGAAAAATTTAAATTTTGTACGGGATTTTAGGGATTTTTGTGCTGATGATGGGGTTTATACTGGGATTTTTTGGTGGGATGAGTGGGGTGAAGGGGATATGGGCGGAGAGGAAAGAGAAGGTGTGGCTGGAGGAGGATAAAGGGGGGTTAGAAGTAGGTGAGGTGGTGTTTGGGAGAGAAGGAGCTTAGATGGAGGAGGGAAGTATGATACTGAAGATTTTAAATATTAGAGGGATTTATAGAAGATTTGGTATCAGTGGGAGTCTTTGGGTGATATTGGGCGAAAGTGGAAAGATTGTGTATTTAGATATGCTCTGCTGGTTTATATAGACTAGGAAATCTGTTTATAAAATATATAGGCATGAGAAGAAAGCCTGTGAAGAGGTTGTGCAGAAGATTCAAATGGAGAATAAAGAAGTGGAGAAAGCAAAGAGTATGAAAGTAGTGGAAATTGAAAAATTGGAAACAATCATGAAAGAGATGGAAGATGAAGGAAAGAGGAGAGAAACTATCATCTCTACCCTTGTCGGTAAGTATCATACAAATTTCAAAACTCAAAATAAACCCTCTTCAAATCCTAATTTATGATTGAATCTCTTACATTCTTCCTACTATAGCCAGCAAAGATCCATTGATACATCCACGTTCATTACCTGACCTAAAGGGAGGTTCTTTGTATTTTAATTTCTCTTCTGTCCAAGACCACTTACTAATGGGCCTGCTGGTTCCACACAAGTTACCTTCTTTGGCCTCTTTGAAATGTAAGAATCTAAAAAGTCTGTCAAACCCTGAGGTACACTTAAAGGAAACACCCTGAAAATTTCCTGTACTTAACGATTTCTTGGAAGATTCTATCCAGGATGAAATAAGAGAGCTTAGCATGACACTAAGCTCGGGCAATGACCTTTCTGATGAAAGTGATTTTACAGAGATGAAGATATCAATAGCTAAGGTCCTCCCCATGGTAACTAAGCAAGTGAGTCTGAGCGGGTTTGTGATCAGTCAAGAAGAGTTTGTAACATTCATGAGCGCAGCAAAGAAAGCAAGAGAGATCAGGTTCAATTGGTGCAGACTAGATATTGAAAATGACTGTGAATTTGAGGGCGAGCTAGAAGATTCAAAATTCAGGATCCTTAATTTCTATGGAACTGAACTAGTTGCTCCAGAAGGGTGGTTTAGTGATGGCTGTGAAAAGTTCAGATATATTATGAAAGGCCTTTCTAAAGAGCACTGTGTTAAGAAAAGAAATATCATTGTAAAGCTAGAAGGCTGCGGACTAAAGAGAGACAAAGTGGCCCAGATCTTAACAGAGAACTCCATGACACTAATGAAGATAGAAATGTAGACCCAAAACTCCAAAGAATAACAAAATGTTGGAAAAAATTAGCTCTCTTCAACACCAAAAATTCTACCCGGGGTTTTGGGGTTTTGGGGTTTTGGGG